GGGTCGTATCAATAATGTTACCAAAATAAGGCACGCATCTTTATCCATATACTATAGACCTTTTAGGTTATTACTTGAACACTCTCTTATATATCAATCATCTTGAATTCTCATATAATAAGTCACAATTAAATTACAAATAACATAATAAAAATTATTGTTAAACACTAAACAATTAATTAAGGAGCTTAAGGGTATAAATCCCAACATAAGCTCCTTGAACTTTGCTTGATCTCCGATCATGTGGTTGTTCGCTCTTCTCGCTAGTACCACATGTTAGTTTTCATTTGGTATTCTTCATTTGTGAGTAGGTTCGTCATAACCTTATCTTTATTGAGTATCAACGGGTTGGCCATTTTCTTGACCAACATCAATGCAGGCTCTTATCCTTCCCGTGGTTGGCATTGTCATGAGTTTGTGAGGTATTGTCATGACCTCCTCAGTTGTGACGTCTGCGACCACGACCACGACCACACCCATGACCTTTACTTTCCTTTTTCTGACTATCTCATGTCTTTTCGTACCTAAAAAGGAAGAATCGATCCGCATCTTTCTTTTTCGTCTGTGCAAGTCACTTCTCGTGTGTGAGTAATAGATGTTTCTCCTTCTCTCTATCATTGTAGCCACGAAGTCTCTCCTCATGGACCTTAAGATGATCAACAACCTCTTCAACCGACATGTTTGTGAGGTCATCGAACTGCTCAATGAAGGTAACAATCTGCATAAAACTTAGAGGGACAGCTCGAAGGAACTTATTGATGATGGAGATCGCCTAACGAACGGATACCGCTAATGATTGTCGTCAACTTTATGGCAAAGTCGTCTATTGACTCATCATCCATCATGCAGATAACCGAACTCACTCTTCAAGGCCTGCACCTTTGCTTTCTTGACACGTTTCACACCTACATGCATAGTTTGCAATGTCTCTCATGCTGCCTTTGTCAAGTCTTTCTCTGCCAACATGAGAAGAACGTCCTCCAAGACTGCTTGGTAGATGACTGCAAGAGTCATCCTATCCTTACGCTCCCCAATGTCATCACCAAGCTCAATGACATCCCACACACTTTGTATATGTAAGTTAACACACATCTTTATCAACCATGCTACTAGTTACTTTTCGGGAGTAACAAGTACTAGATTGTTATACTCCCCTCCTTCCCACTCTTTATCATTGTCATATCTCATCCGGTGACTGTATATGGTAATGACATTTGTTTCAGCATCCTAGCTCCGATATCAAATGTTGGATATGGTCCACAATCAAAATATGCCGAACAAATAAAAAATCATGAAAAAAAATTTGGGGAAAAGTTTCTTTGAACAAAAAAAACCTTAAGCACTATGCTTCTCAATTCTCTATGTTGTTATAAACAAAGCCTACCTCTCAAGATTATTTATGGGAGAGAAAGCACTAATCGATTTCCTAAATTTTATCCACAAGTTAGCAACTACTAACAATCCTCCTAACCAAAAAACCAACAATTTTCATAAACAAAAGACTAACAATTTTTCTAAACTTATTCTACTTAATAACTAATAACAATTATCCTAAATGGTATTAAATATCCTTAACGCCTCCTCTTCCCGTAAGCTAAGCGTCGGATTTGAACGAACGTGAAGCTTGGATTTGAAATTCAAAGAGAGGTCGAAAAACACTTTTCGTGAAAATGTCAACAACCTAGTTCGGAGAAGGCATAGAGAAACACTTTATTGGCCATCGAAAACTGTAGAGGGATCGACGCTTAGCGGCAATGCTGCCTTGGCTTCAGCGAGAATATGTCTAATCCATGAAAAGGGATCATCGCTCAACAACGATGCTGCCATGGCTCCGGTGATTATATTTCTAACTCAAGAAGTAGAAGGGGGAAACCTAGAGCAAAGAACAAAGACAATATTGAAGCCGAAAGAGTCGCCACAGTGAGCGAAGAAGCCAATTTTGGCGAGAAGGGCGATGGCGACTTGGTTGGCGAAGAGGCCAGTGTGGCACCCAGATTCCAAAGGTAAATCTTTACAGAAGGTCGATAGGTTTCTCAAGATTTGTATGTTTTCGATGGGAACACTCATGAGAATTCTGTATGTTTTCGGCGCCCAAATACCCGAAGAATGTTTGCTTAATCCACCACACCTAAATGGTGTGTGAAAGTTCTCAATTTATAATAAGTGAATTAGAAAGATATGAAAATAGTAATAAATAGAAAGATACCTATTGTAAGAAAGCAAATATCTTCTAACTGAGTCGAAAAGAAAAACATTACAAATGTTATTCCAAATGTTATGTTTGAAAGTGTAGCAAAAAGACAAGTTCATACATGAATTCAAGATCTTGTAATTTTAATCTCCCTTCAAATAAATACCCCAAAACTAAACCTTCATATGTTGTTCATCTAACAGTAGAAGCCACAGCATAAGCCCACAATCTTATATGTTCTTTCATAATTGTACTATCTTCATAGCCACACACCTTCTTCTTCCTCTCATTTCTAATTCTCTCTTGAACCACCCAACATTCACAAATCTCCTTCACACCATAACTCACATCTACAATGGGTGTCGAAATTTCTTCTCCGGGAGGCTCAACGGCGTCGTTTTGAGCCGGAATTTCCAGCTTTTCGACGACCGGCGGCGGCGCTCTGTTGGTAAATACGGTGGCGAAGAACCAGAGAGAATCTAAACTCTCTATAACCTGTTGGCTTTCCATTGTACTTGACGCCCGAAAATTCCATGGGGCTTTAAAACAATTAATAACCAAGTTTTTAAATCGATTGTGGTAAATGACTAAAATACCATTCTGTCGTTACCGTTACCGTGAACCGTGACGAGTAGTTCTTTTGAGGTAGGTGTCTTTGTTCTGTTGTGCCGTGAAACCATGGACTTTTTGATAGGACCGTTAGTAACTCTGTCAAAGTAAACGGAAAGATGCTCCAACGGTCGAAATAAAATCGTGCAAAAAGACAATTATTACGCGTTTTTGGGGGACCCCACTTTTGCAATGGGAGAATATCGTGCTCTTAAATATAAATAAACTAAATTAATAAAACACTTTCATAAAATAAAAAATATCACTAAAATTAAAATAAAAAAAAAAAAGTCTCGTACCAACGGAGATAGTATTCCACTTTGAGCATTTTTAAGTGTTAGATGAACACGACTCTCCACAATGGCATGATATTGTCCACTTTGAGCATAAGCTGTCATGACTTTACTTTAGGATTCCCTAGAAGGCCTCATAGCAACGGGATAGTATTCCTTGATTATAAACCCATGATCATTCTCTAAATTAGCAAATGCGAGACTTTCATAGTCTCTACTTCTTTTCTTTTGGAGTCTTTGTTTGACATTTGAGAATTCTATTGGCATGACTAAGTTTAGTGCATGACTCTGATACTATGTTAGATGAATAAGACTCTACCTTTTGGGAACTCAAAACAAAGTCATGAGAACTTATGCTCAAAGTGGACAATATCATACCATTGTGGAGAGTCGTGTTCATCTAACACTAAGAAATGTTTTGTTCCCCTCTCTCCAATTGACGTGAAATCTCATGTAAACGCTCAATTGAAAAAAACAATCCAACAATATATCTACTTTCTTTTTAACATTACATCTTGAAGAGGATTTGCTCTATCGTCGAGTGAGCTCGCCATTGAGGGTTGACCTTTATTCTTTTTTTCTTTCGTTTGTGTACAACAACAGAGAAGGCTGCTTCATGCTAGACGTTGGAACGAGGAAGCCCATCATAGAAAAGAAGGATCGTCAAACTCATCAAAACTCAAGAAGTAGTTTGAGATATTTTTGGTACAACAAAAATAACCACCTATGCCTAGGATTTGACACTTGATGGCCTCACCTTTCCTCTACATCTCGTGCAACATGGTTATGTTACCTACTCTTCGCTTCATAAAAGCGAAGACTATCCCCAGAGATCAACATGGGTTCTTCTAACATGTTTTGCCTTCACTCACATGCACTACAGAAAAATTCCTAAGAGATCACCTAAAATAGAATTGTTCTAAGTAAAATACGTTTAATCATGGAATATCTATGATCTAGCCACGAAAAAAAAATGTGCACATTGTTAGTATAGGCATTAACTTTCGTTTTCTTTAAGCATTTCTCAGTCAAGAGTATATATTAAATATAACAACCCAAACCCACCACTAGTAGATATTGTTCTCTTTGAGCTTTCCCTTGAAATCACCGTAAATATTGTCCTCTTTGAGCTTTCCCTTGGACCCACTGCAGATATTGTCCTCTTTGAGCTTTCCCTTAGACCCACCACTAGTAGATATTGTCCTCTTTGAGCTTTTCCTAGCTCACCCAAATATTGTCATCTTTAAGCTTTCTCTTAGACCCACCACTAACAGATATTGCTTTCCCTCGACTCACCCAGATATTGTCCTCTTTAAGCTTTCTCTTAGACCCACCACTAGCCGATATTGTCCTGAGCTTTTCCTAGACCCACGAGTAACAGATATTGTTCTCTTTGAGCTTTTCCTAGACCCACGAGTAACAGATATTGTCCTCTTTGAGCTTTCCCTTAGACCCACCACTAACAGATATTATCCTCTTTCAGCTCTCTCTTTCGCACTTCCCCTCAAGATTTTTAGAACGTGTCTCCTAGGGAGAGGTTTCCACACCCTTACAAAGAATGTTTCGTTCTTCTCTCCAATCGATGTGAAATCTCACAATCCAACCCCTTCAGTGCCCAACGTCTTTACTGGCACTCGTTACTCTCTCAATACTAATTATCGCTTAATTATGTTCAAATTTAACCTTATTTTGATTTCCCCATATGCCATTTCCTCCCTAATCATAACTATATTCTATGAATATGAATATGAATATGAATAAATCCTCACTCCTTCAAAACTATACACTAAATAAATAGCAATAATTTCCAAAAATATATTCACATTGACTTTGAAACTAAGATCAAAATTTAAGACAAAAACCCAAGAAATTACAAAGAAAAAGAAGAACAATGAATGAAAGTAATGTCATCTAACAGTAGAAGCCACTGCATGAGCCCACCATTTGAGATTATCCTTCATATCAGTCTCATTACCAGGAAACCTCCATTTCTTCATCAATGGCATCCTCAACTCCATAGCTTCCCAAGCTTCCGAAAGATAAGGCCTCAAAATTTCCCCACCCATCTCTTCTTCTCCTTCCTTCCGGCCTCTGTTCAATGCCGGAACAATCCACGCCAAGCTAGAATCTTTATCCTCCTCCGTGAAAACAAATCCCATATCCATAAACCCTTTTAGCTCCTCGAATTCCAGCTCCGACAAGCTCTTACTTTCCGACCACTTCATTCTCAACTCTGTTTCCGGCCGCCGTTCATTTCCTCTCTGGCTGTTCTCCGGCGACTCGTTTCCGGCCATCGTTTGAAGCTTTGGCGAAAACAGAACTGAATTGGGTGAGTTGGAATTGGACATAAAGCTCAATTTGGAGGCTAAGTATTCGCTTATTGACCTCGTTCGAATCTGTCGGACGAAAGGCTCCTCCTCCTCCTCCTCCGGCGGCGGCGGGTTTTTTAAGGGATTTTCTGGTTGTGGGTTTTGGGGGTTAGATGAAAAGGGGTGGTTGTTGAAGATTTCACGCTCAAACCAGACGGAATTGAAGAGATTTAGAAGTTGCTCAAGGTCCATCAATGGCGGCTGAGAACAGAGGATTCTATGTCGGGTTGTTTGGTTAATTGGGTTTTTGACAAATGAATGTGATTTTATATGTGAAGAGGGTAAAGACATTGATGTGTCTAGAAATTTCCGTTGAATTACATTGATTTTCGAAGAAAGTATGTGTGGGTAAATTGTGTGGGCGTCACATGTAAAATGGCGTGGAATTTGTCTTAATTTATTGCATTTAGGAATGTGTTTTTGGACCTGATTGAGTTGGTGATATGAACCATTCGGATAGAGTTCACAAGTAAATCCGACAAAACTCTTTATATTCGAGTTAAGTTGGGTTGGGTTGTCGGTTTTTTTTTTAATTATTTAAAAGAAATCTCACTTATCCATGATGCATGTTACGTAAATAACTAAAATCTTATAAAATTCAAACATCAAACATTCATAAGTCACAATACATCACTAACATTGGTATAAACGTTTAAATATTCTTAATCTTCATACTAATTTATAAGTAGGATAGGGTTAGATTAGGTTATAACCCTATTTTCTTATTGGTCGGGTTGACCCAATAAAAAAATGTCAACCTACAAAGTGACCCCAAATTTTGATTTCTAAAAAATTCAATTCAGTCTGGACAAAAAAAAAAATAACCCCGCTCAACCTCCATTATTTTTAGATAATTCGAGGCGGTCGAGTTATTAGGTCATATTAACACTCTTACAAAATATGTTTTTCCACTCAAACAAAAATTTGAACCTTAAATTTTTTTTATTGAAAGTTCATGCTAGTTATCATAAGAAAAAGTTGGCCACTTGGGAGATATAAAAATATTATTTAGATTTTGTTCTATAACTATTTAATTTTTAAAATTTTTAACTTTTTAAATTAAGCATATAAAAGTATTTAATTTTGCTTTTAGAGTTATTTTACGTCGTCGTGATCTTAAGTATGAACGTAATATCCTTAATAACTATTGAAAGTGTTTGAGTCAAGGATAAACGAATTAACTTCAGGTCACTTTACGAATCGAATCAATTTCATTTTATCACAAAATAATCATTACTATTTTATATAAAAATTACACTTTTAAACTTGGTTCTTATAAAATTAAATGATAATAACATTATATTGTGCGTTATGATATAATATTACTTGAAATTAGATGGTTTATTGCTTCAAAATTACTCAAAAACCAAACCTTTCAACTACCAATCAAAATTAATGCATCATTTGTTGTTGTCGAAATTCAAAAGGATAATACGTTTAACCTTTACGTGACAACAACGATAAAAGTTATTTAAAGACAAAAGAACGTCCGTATGTATGTGGTGTTTGCCTAACAGATTTATATGTTTGAGTTGGCTACGAGGAATTTAATGTTACAATGATGTAAGGAATTAGGAAGAATTTTCATTTTCAAGTTGAAGAAGAGTGTTTATTCCTTTTAGGGTTTTCGTTAGCTCCTTGAATTAGATCAAAACATCTCATGCCCAGGATTCGGATCAGGGTTAGGAATCTAAATTCGACACCGGATGACCTCGACATTCTTCTACGACATGGTCACGTTACTTACTTTTCGCTTTTTAAGAGTGAAAACTATCTATAGACCAACACGAGTCTTTCCAACATACTCTGTCCACGTTTACATGCATCCAAGGAAAACTCCTAAAACGTCACTCAACATAGAGTTACTCCGAGTAAATGCTTAACCATGAAGTTCCTATGGTTGACCACTAAAAAAGAAATGACTTTTTAGTATAAATCGTGACTTTAAATTCTTTTAAATTTTTTCTTTAATCATTTATTTTCACGATCATTCTCATTCGGATGTGGTATTGATTCATTCATGGGTCCCACTTTTATTCGAGTGTCACATCGACTAGGATCACACGAACGGGTGTCACATTAGGTTCCTTTTAAAAACGTTTAAATTGGTTCCATTTTGTATATATTTAAACATTTAAAATATTTATATTAGTCCTTAATCTCTTGAATAAATCAATAATTTAATCCTTATTTTATTTTATTTTAGCTCAATAATTGTAAAATGAAACATGTAAATGACTTTTATTATAATGAAAATTATTTTTCCTAATTCTTTTTACCATTTATTTCCACTCGTTTTTTCGATGAGATTTTTTAAAAAATAATTGTCAGAAAAGCGTGTAGGATTGCTTGAACCTTAAAATTAAAAAACCAAGGTTGAATTTTAATAATAATTTCTTTATGGTTGAAATTAAATAAATGACGTCAACGTGGCTGTTACAAGGACATGAAGTCATTCGGTCAACATAAACTAAGTCCCTCCCGAGCCAAAAATCATGCCATGAACTTAAACTGTTTGAAAATAAAATCCTTAAATCAATCCAAAAACATATAAGAAACCAGAATAACACTATGTCCTAATCTAACCTAAGGGCTACAAAATAAACATGAATGCAGCTACCCTAACACCGGTTCCATGGTCTTCACGCGTCGCCTCCGCCACCCATACACGAGTGTCTTGCTTTTACCTTAAATGTAAGAGTAGCACATGACTTGAGTATTTTAAGAAATATAGTAGGTGATCTTACTATTGGAGTCATGAAATGCAAACACATGCAATATGGTGAGACCTATAATTTAAAGCATCATTTCATTCTCTTAGACAGATTTTCAGTCCGGGCTAAGTTGGATGTGTAGTACTTCTCGACTTACACGTGCGAGCGTGGGCCCATCAGGCGGGTTCGCACACTCCTTGGACCTGCTCGTCGTGCTAGCACTCGTTGATGGGCTGTTGTTGGACACCCAAGGGGAATAGCAACCTTTGTAGTATCATAGTAAACAAATGGTCATTTCAGTCTCATAGTGTACACATCCGTACTCATAGTAATGGGGAAGTATCTCGATGCACGTGAACATACAGTTATGGTCAAGTCTCCAAAATGATAGACATATTGAATCAGTTATGAAAGTCATTCTCACCCATGAAAATCAAAGGACAAGCTACCACGGGTAAGAATTCATAACCGACTCAATATTAAGATGGAGTGACATATGATCATCTTATGAAATATTAATATTCTCAATTAACAGATTTAGAAAAAGAGACTAAATATTTCGTGGTTGTCTTGTATAAACTCATTATAGGATACCTCCACTCACATGTATTCACATGAACGATTAGAATCAAATCATTTGTAACAACTACAAAGTGGATTGTATCAACAGTTTGACCACGACAAGTCACTCAACATTATCCGTGTACTATAGATCCTAATATATATCAACCACGTACTATTCAACATTATACTAATAATATTGAATTTTTTATATCATGCATAATATTAAATTGAAAATAAAATAATTAAAAATAAATATTTAATTACCAAATTTTATGACATAAATACCAACAAATGCATTTACATCATCAAAAGACAAATATTAAAGAAGAAAAAAAGTCATGCTTATAAATAATTTCAAAATACCTTGTCTAGAAGACGTATATTGAGCATTTGATGGTCTAGATCCACCGCTAGTAGATATTATTCTCTTTGGGTTTTTCCTTCCGGGCTTCCCCTCAAGACTTTAAAACGCGTATGCTAGGGAAAGCTTTCCACACCACTACAAAGGGCGTTTCGTTTTCCTCCCCGACCAATGTGGGATATCACAATCCACCCACCTTTAGGGCCCAGCGTCCTCGCTGGCACTCGTTCTTTCTCCAATTGATGTGGGACCACCACCAAATCCACCCCACCCCCATTGAGGCCCAACATCCTTACTGGCACACCGCCTCATGTCTACCCTCTTTGGGGAACAACCTCACACATAGTCTGGTGTCTAGCTCTGATACCATTTTTAACGGCCCAAGCCCACCACTAGGAGATATTGTTCTCTTTGGGTTTTCCCTTCCGGACTTCTCCTAAAAGTTTTAGTGAAAGGTTTCCACACTATTATAAAGGGTGTTTCGTTCTCCACCCCAACTAACGTGGGATATCACAGAAAGAACTTGCCTATGTCTTGACTCGAGTCTTGAACAATTGAGACACCTATATCGAGTAACTTGCATAGGTGCATTACGGGGCAAATCTCCTTTGGCAGTAAGTTGATTGGGCATTAATCAAAAACCATCTGCCAATGGAGTAATTGCCCAGAAATCCATCCAATGCACTTCATGCTCATTGTTCATCTTCATTTCAATGCACTTTCTTTCATTACCTTCCATCTCTATATAAAGCTTTTGAACAAACCTTCACATCGCCAATGTTGATGATGTGGAGAGATCAGCATATTCCAAGCACAATGCTACCCCTTTGAAATATGTGTATATTAGTATAATGCTACTTGGGGATGAGATTCCCTTCTCAACTCTCCACTTCCCTAAATCATTCAACCACATGGCTCGGTTCCAAATCGTGTTCGAGATTAGAAATCGGGATTTTCCTTTTTCGAAATGGAGACATGAAATAAACAAGACTATATAAAATTTAACTTGTAAATCCAATTTTAATGACATGACACTCGTAATTATTTGTACACTATATTAAAACTTGATTCGTATATTTGTGGTAAGCATTTTTACGTGTGCCGAGTTTTAGTGCTATTTTTACGCACATTAGCTAGCATAGTGTTGTTGCGATGTAGTACCATGAAGCTATATTTTTTCTTTGGTTTTTTTGTAGCGTTGGGACGTTGTGAGATCCCACATCGATTGGAGAGAAGAACGAAACATTTTTTTTATAAGGGTGTGTAAATCTCTCCCTAACAGACGTATTTTAGAAAACGTGAGGCTAATGACGATATGTAACGGGCAAAAGTAGACAATATCTGTTAGCGGTAAACTTGGACTATTACAAATGGTATTAGAACCAGATACTGGGTGGTGTGCTAGCAAGGAAGCTGACCCCCAAGGGGTAGATTGTGAGATCTCACGTCCGTTGGAAATGGGAAGAAAACATTTCTTATAAAGGTGTTGAAATCTCTCCCTAACAGACGTGTTTTAGAAAACGTGAGGCTGATAGTGATACGTAACGAGTAAAAGCAGACAATATTTGTTAGTGGTAAACTTGGGCCGTTACAAATAGTAATAGAGCCCGACACTAGGTCGTGTGCTCGCGAGGACGCTGGCCCCCAAGGGT